TTAACTGCTAGATTAAAAATTCTTCTGAATATTCTCAGGATCATTGCCTTGCTCATCTTTTACATATAACTGTATGGCTTGACATTGTCATGTTTCCTAGTTCTTCTCCTTTCCCTCTCTTGATTAGTTAGTCCTTGAGATCCTGCAAGTGTGTTTCTTTATACAACATATTGCTGGACTGTGTTTCCTAATCCACTGTGCCTGTCTATTTCTTTTAATTAGTGAATTGATTCCATTTACATTGATGGTTAAAATTTAGATGTGTTGTCTTATGATTGGCATGTTATTTACCTGCTGTAGTTTATTCCTTTCTCTCCTGTTTTTAATTGCTTGCCCTATTTAGTAGGTTCCTTCTGTTCTCTTTCATGGAGTTCTGATCATTTTTCATTCCTCTCTAGAGCATCTTTTAGTACTCTGTGTAGGCTTGGCTTAGACATCATGAAATTCTTTAGTTTTTTTTTTTTGTCATGGAAGTATTTCACTTCTCCATCAAACTTGAAAGACAGTTTTGCAGGATGTAGTAGTTTGGTTTGGAATCTGTTTTCATAGAGGATTTGAAGTGCTCTGCTCCATGCTCTTCTTGCCTTCATTGTTTGTGAAGAGAAGTCTGCCATTATTCTGATGGGTTTTCCCATAAATATGATCTGTTTCTTTTCTCTAGCTCCTTTCAATATGTTGTTTTTGTGCTGGATTTCTTGGATCTTATACATATCTGTATATTTTTAATTAGGTTGCTATTCTTTGGGGTTCTGTGTGCTTCGGTTACCTGAATGTCAGATTATTCCCCCATGTTTAGGAACTTTTCTGCCATTATTTCTGCCCATTTTATATCACTTTATTGACTCCTTCTTTCTCACTGATGCCTATTAGTTTCACATTGTTCATCTTTGCATCATCTGGCAGGTGTTGAATTTTTTTCCTGCATTCTAGTTGTTTTAAGAGATCTTTTCTAACTTTTTCACTAGCTGCAACTGCGTCTTCAAGATCTGAAACTCTATCTTCACTTTCACATAAATGGTTATGCAAGCTTGTGATTGAGATTTTGATTTCCTCTATATCTCTTTGACTCTACTTCATGCAATCTATTTTTCTCCTGTAATGCTCATTCAAGGATTTCATCATTTTTCTAATCTCTATATTTTATGAGTGTCTTCTCGAGAAGCCATTATTAATTATTTTCCTTCAGAGATTATTTCTGTTCTGATTTCCTCTACACATTTCTGTATTTGATTCTTTACTTCAGATGTTATTAGTTCAGAGATTTCTGTTTTCATTTCAGAGGTTATTTCTGATCTGAGTTCCTCTATCCCTTTCTGCAGTTGTTTCTTTACTTTAGATGCTATTAATTCTGACATTTCAACTGTGTGATTCCCAATTTCTTGTGTGCTTTCATCTTCTGCACTTTTTCTTGGTGGACTTGAGGCCTGAGAATGCGTTTTGCTCCTTCTCTTTGTCATTTCTATAGCATGAAATGTCTTCTGACCTTTGTCGTAGAGCTTTGGTGCAGTTATTACCTTACCACCTACTGAAATTTGGGTGCAGATCTACGATGTTTGAATTCATCCAGTTTTGCCTCATTTGGGTCTGGCTGCTGTGCTCAGTTTCTTCCTGCTGCATCCTTTGGAAATGAACCTGTTATGCCCCTCTAGCAAGATGTTTTACTCCTAGATTAGCTGGGTGGTTCTGCCCTCTAGTCTCTCTGCAGGGACTTCAGCTTCAGTTTCACCTCAGACCTGTATACCAGTCCTGTGCTTGGTCTGGAGGTGTCCAGAGAGTGAGGTGGAAGTTCTCACTCACACACGAGGCCTGGCTGGGTCCGGAGGTGTTGGGAAGGAACAGGGGTATGCAGAAGCTCTCCCACACACTCAATGGGCCTGGACTTTGGCTGGGTATGCAGATGTCCTGAGAGCACAGTGGAATTTCTCACTCAAAATCCGGGCCTGGTCTGGGTCCAGTGCAGTGGAGGAGTCCAGTGAGTGCGACGGAGTTCACTTACAAGCCAGGATGGGTCTGGGTGGGTGGGTGCAGGTGGGTGGAAGGGTCCCAAGAGT